GTTTGAATTTCTGTTTAGTTTTATATTGTAATCTAATATATTGTTTGTAATTGGTTCGATTATGTTTGAGACATTTAAACTTACATCTTTAAAAAAAATTGTAATCTACTTTTAGTTGTGAAAATTAACATATTGTAATTTTTTTAGATTGGTTTCGGGTTCGATTATAATCAACGGTGAATTGGAAAAAGAGGATTTTTACCCTTAACAGGTTCCCAACGGGGATCGGGGAAACCGCGGGGACCCATTGGGGATACCCGATAAGATCCCCGACGGGGATCAGGGCGGTTATGGGGACGATTTTAGTTATCGGTTTCGGGGACGAGGATATCAATAACCGGCCCGAACCCGACTCATTGCCATTCCAACCTAACCCGCATAGAAACCTGTGAGTGTCTTTTTTTTTCTACGCAAAATTCCAGTGTCGCACGAGACTTACCCAACGACTTTACTCTCATGGAAACTTGCTCCGCGCAATGTTTTTTGTTCCACATCGTTTGAAACTCCAGTGTATAATGCGACTAAGCACATGAAAAGCCGCATTAGTTACTGTTTTGCTACCTTTAGATCAAGCTTTGAGATCCTAAAACCATGTCTTTGACTATCTTTGACATTTAATATGTAACTGCCATTTGCAAAACTCAAGCAAACACTTAGACTGAGGTCCATGTAACTTACTTATTCATTCAAAGCCCAAGCCTTAGGGGTTGTTTGTTTACCTCTTAATAGTTCAATTAAGAGGTAGTATCTGAATCATTATGAGGTGAATCTTGTTTAGCAAAAAAAAAAAAGTTTACCCTTAGGCCTTATTAAGCGAGTTCTTATTTAACTTGGTTCCTATGTGGTACAGATTCATTAACGAAGTTCCAAGAACTAAAATATTCAATATATTTGTACCTTAATGAAAAAATATCGACAAATCAAACGAACTCAGTACAAACTGTCAGTTATTCAACTAAGGGGTCGTTTACTAAACACTTACCTGGTAAGTGCTTAACGCATAAATTTCCCCATCGGATGAACATGAGAAGGGCCAAAAATCTTACCGGGTAAGAGCGATGAGAATGATGGAGAGTCTTACCCGGTAAGTGAGGATGACGACTCTTACCCAAGTAAGTGTTTACCCAGTAAATTGTTGCATTCGATATGTTTTGATGTATTAAAATCTTACACATCAAAATAAATTATAGTGTTGACTCTTATTGGTAAGCGCTTACCAGGTAAACATTTGGGTAAACGGATCCGTTTTTATAATTAATTGAAAGGGTTGTGGATAGCCCAAGATTGAGTGGATCCATATAAATTTGATCCATTTGGACCACATCCACAATGTTTCAACCTGCCCCTTGGTTTGTGTGAAAATTAAGATACTTGTTTATTTAATTGCCGGAAAGTGTTGTATTACCATTTAAGGCAAAGTGTTGGCAAAAACACACAAGTCTTCCTACTCACTAATCCTCCTGCTGCTGCTCCTTTTTCAATAATTTATCAACACAATTTCACTCTACGTTGAACCTTGCAAGTCTCTCTCTCCTCTCTCTATCTCTTTCTTCTCCTTCACCTTCCATCCGTGGCTTACCCAGATCGATAATTGAGGCCTCAGGTGGGATCATCCAACTGTTTGATTATTTGCCAAGGACAACAACCGAAAGTTTTCAGCTGCATTTTTTTGAATTCTGAATTTTGATGGATTCTGGGTATTTGTTTGCGCTCATGGACAGTTAGATTTGGAATTCGACTCCTTCTTTGATATTATAAGGTATTCTATGATCTTTTGAAGTCGGTTTCTGATTCGCTTTGTATAAACATAGCATCAATTCAAGCTGAATTGTGTCTCGAAACAGCTTGGGATTATCATTATTTTTGTTGGGTTTGGTGAAATTGGCTTAATTTTCTTCTGGGTGCTTTTTAAATTGGTTAATTAGTTGTTCTCTTTCTAGCAGATTGTTGTTGTTACATCATGTACTGCTCTATTTTGTTTCCCTTTTTGCCAAGGTGTTGTTGCTTGCTAATTACTCATTCCGGATCAAAGTTATATGGTTGGTGTTTATGATGTTTGAAAGTCATGAAATTGTTTACTTATATATAAGATTTTATTGCTTCTCAGCTTCTTTCTTGCTCAAAGAATTGTATGGCCAAGAATGAAAAGGTAAATAAAAAGAACCTTTATGACCCAAGCATTTATTGAGGGGTTTTAAGTTAGTCTTTTATGAATGAAAAATCTATATGCTTTATTTGGAATTTCCGTTTGTTTCTATCTTTATTTTGATTCGGAAGGAACACTATGATTAAATCTTGATGAAGCAGAAAGCAGAGGCTGAGATATATTAATGCAATAGACCTGTCACTTTACATGCTTTTCTTGTGATATCAGTCTTACTTTATTGAACTTTCTTCTTCCTGCTGTGAATTCTCATATCTCATTTATACCTGTATGCTCTAAACATTTGAAGGGCATTTGCTCCAATAATAAAAAAATGTAGTTTGTTGTTGTTATAGGAAAGGAGGGAGGTGCCGTGTTAACAGTTTTTTACATTGTGCTCGTGAGTAGTCTACTGCTTTTTAGTTGAACATTTATGAGGTTTGCCACTCTGTGACTTGTTGAGTAGTAATAAATTTTAATTTCTTTGTTCACCAAAACCACATCTTCACACCTGAATTGCATTTATTTCTTGGTTGTGACCCTGATTGAGAAAAAAACTCAAATGTATCATGAAAAGAATATGCATGCATCCCCATGTCCAACTTGCTCTTTCATCGACTAATTTTCTATCATTTTGTTCATAGAATCAATATCTTGGTGAGGAGCAACATCCAAATTAACCTTGGGCTGGCAGATATATAGAAGATAAAGTATAATATGGGATGCTTTGTATCAACCCCAAAGGATTCAGGTGGGAAAAGAAGGAGGCCAGGAAACATCGGAGAAGTAGCAGTTTTTGTTCCTGGTTTACGGATTCCCAAACCTGTGGATTTTTCTGAGTCACTCGGTGACCACTTGTGCAAGAGTTTAGTGGAGCGGCTTTCTGCTCTTAGGACACGTATAGTTGTTATGGCTGGACAAGAAGCTCCATCTATCACGAGAACACGGAGAAGAAGTGCTACCCAACATGGTTGGTATTAAAAAAGACTCGTCTTTTTTCAGTTGTTAGTGTGATGGTATCATATTTACGGGTAGCGTTACATTTTCAGGAGGCTCAACTTTAGGTGATCTTCTGCAGGCCCTTGAAGATTATTTACCAGTCCTTCTAGGACTGGTTAAAGATGGTAAATCATGATCTGAGCTATCTTTTTAGTTTTTGTGCTCTATTCATATGATACCATATTTTTACCACTATTGCAGGAAGCCCGTTGCAACATAAAGTACAATTTACATGGATAAACCAGGAGGATGATTCAGAAGTAAGAAAGCAGTATAAGTTCTGTACAAAAAACTGTTACTCTTTTTTTGGCATATTACCATGAATGAAGTGGAACATTATCTTAGCACATATTGTCATAATTTTCAGGAAATGGGGATGTATAGTGCTTGGTATGAAGTATTGTCTGTTTTGCACTTGATGGCAGCTTTATCACTATCACAAGCTAACTTGTTGCTTCTCCCAAGAACGTCCACTGATGGTTATTTGCCTAAAGTATCAGAAGGTGGGTTGTGTCGGATGAGAAAAACTGCTTATTTTATGTTCATAATGCTCGACATGGCTAATGTTTTCATCCACTGATTTACTGTGGTTACTACATAAGCATTAACCAGAAGCTCATATTGATTCAAGAGTCAAGATGCCACTAAAACAGCTTAGGAGATCTTACGGAAGTACACAACATGATGGCAAGATATTGAAAAACGGAAATGCTTATATATGATGCAGTCTAATATTATTCATATCAGTATCCCAAAATCCTGTCTGAAGTAATAGTATTGAACAGATGAATGTGGTTAGGCACTTCATCATGAATTTCCATTCTGATTTATTTCATATTTGGCTGGTAGAGACATTTGTGGATTACTCTCTAGTCTCTAATAAGTTGTAATCTTGTGTACATGGAAAATATATAGAAAGAGACATCCCAAAAAACAACTGGTTTGGTTAGTGATGCCAAAGGAAATTATTTCATAGGGTGGGTGTAACAACATAGAGCGATTTTATTTTTTTGTCATGAATTGAGATATGGACGAGATCCGTCATAAAAGGACATACGTTCAGGATATAATTGTGTCTTGGAAATATTAGGTTGGACTGCATTGCACTATAGCAGATGGAAGATGTGTGTCTTCTTATACTATCCACTAGCCATGTGTTGAAAAATAAGGAAGATAGAAAACAAGAGGAGAAGGAATTATCTTTATGCTTATTAGATATGACCATCATGCATACATGTTGCATGTTTCATGTTAAAAATTGTGACACCGGAAAGATATTTGAGAAAACAAATGCTCTTCACAAAATACAAATTCCTAAAGGAATTTGAAAAAAAGGAAGATTTTATTGACCAAGAATAATAAAAAAGTTATGCCCGGCAGAAGTATTTATAGGACAAGTAAAACAGAAACCTCAATAAGAAAGAATTCTAAACCCAATAGGAAACTATCTCAACCAACTAGGTCACTATTGTAAACTGACTAGGAAGCTACTTCATAATATGTTCCACATCAAACTGAATTAGCAACATGAATTCATACCCCTAGATAATGCTTAATATACCAACTGTGAGCGGTACTTATCTGGTAGAATGTCTCTGTTTTTATGTTCCAAAATATACATTTCTCTTAGTTGTTATATAAATTATATAATATCGTCATTTTCTTAACGAAGGTACATAAATTGATCATTTAAGAAGTTCCTACCTATTTGATTGGTGGCCAATCCAGCCGTCTGAATATGACTAAATTTTACATAATTGCATGGATGCTCTTTTTGTAACTAGATCCTTGATGACTGCTATTTTGTAGAAAATATATTTAAGAAGTATTGGTTTCATATCTAAGAAGCATTATGATTGCTTTTATGTGCATGAAGAATAATAAGAGTTGGAGCTTTGGTGATGGCTATTTTGTAGAAAATATATTTTTAAGTTCTTTCAAAAATCCTATTCCTGAGATCAGATGGTACTTGCTACCCTGACAAAATGTAAGGATAGTATACAACTTTATGGAGCATGAATCCATGTTTACTCCAAATGTATTTGCTACTCTAATTGTTGGCATACTACAAAGCTGGATCTTATCTGCTTACCCCAACATTAATGAGGGATTAGTATATTTATTAGCACTTCTATTTTTTTACTCTTATTTCACTCATAGGCTGTTTTCTACCTCTACCAGGAGACTAATAGTTTCATTGCTAACACATTATTATTGAGATGTTCATAAAACAGAGATTAAAACATCAAGGATTACCTATGAGTTCTTAATATTCTTGTTTCTACTAAGGGAGGAGTTGCTCTTCCCTCATCCATCTGCTTCTGGATGAAACTTCAGCCTGACAACAGCTACAGCTAGGACAAATTAGCGGCTTGCAAATGTTTGACTGTCAAACTTCACTCTTCAGTTGCTACTCCTATTAGTCCTTGCTAGGAGCTTCGAATTGGTAGTGATTTATCTGTTTTCCGTATCTAAAAGATTAATTAAAGATTACTGGTTACACATTAAAATTTAGAAAGCATTCAAGCAATAAGGTTGGCCTGCTTATTAGAGATTTAGGACACAGTGAAAAGCTAGATGCTCGTGTGCACATGTGCAGGGGTGGCAGGGTGCTTAAAGGTTAATAGGCATGGACCAAACAGATTTAACAATGCAGAATCTAGAAAGAGAACTGAACAATATGTAAAGACAGGTCTTATCCTGGATAATTTCTGTAGTAGTAAGTTCTAAAGCAACTCAATCAAGTACATATCATTGGGGAGAGAAAAAGGCATAGAGAAAGACAATACATTACACTTGCAAGAACAAGTTTATTGCAGAAGTTATCCGATAAAGTTCTAAGAAAATATACGCCATGCTTGAAGAAAGCGTTATAAATGTTATAAGCATATGCCTTGTGCTGTATTAGCTGCTACTTCTGAGTTAAGGAATTCTATAATCTACTTGTTCCATTATGCATTTTCTGATATATATTGGATGTTAAGCCCTGCTGTTTGTGTTACATGAAATATGGAATGTTCTTTGTTATCACAGAAAGCAGGAGATCTGCAATTGATATTTTGTTAAAGGCAGCCGGATACCTTGATTGTGCAGTAAGGCACATACTTCCGCAGTTGCCTCCTGAACTCAGGTTCATAGATTTGTGAATTCTAATGTCTTATTCACGGTCATATCTGTGCTTATAAGAATTTAATTTTGTGCAATATTTGCTTTTCTCTTAGGAGAGATCTGCCAGTGGACCTCGCCGAAGGAGTTCTGAGAGCACTCTGCCTTCAGGCACTTGGACAGGTATTGTCCCACAAATTCTGCTTCTAACAGAACTTTTGACATCCTTATAATGGTCTGTTGTAAATTTACCTTTGAACATGTGCATAACTCCAGTTGTTTTGAACATCCTATATATATGCTTATTGTTTTTCATGCCGTTAAACTTGGCTTGGATCGGAAAATTACAATCGTGGTTGCCCGTTATTTTTAAGATGTGTGTATTCCTCAAGTGAAATGTAGGAGATTTGATAAGTTAAAAAATAATATAAAAAATGCATGGATTTTTGGCCCTATACATCCCATAGATATCTCTCATGACTGTCTATTGCATAACAAAAATATGGTGTTGAAAAGTTCTCTGCATCTAATAGCTCATACATGTGCTCAATCATATAAGGGATTATATACCAATCATACATTGATAAGCCTAGTACTTGGAAGGGCAAGATTTTATTGGTCCAAGTTGCAATATTGCTTCTTGCTGATTGTTTTTAAGCGAAACCGGGTAGTTTCACTTTTTGAAATCCATTTATGAGGCACAGCCTTTAGGTAACGAAAACTGTTATTTCAGAAATTATTATGGGATTTTTTTTGGTTTTCATAATACATATTTATCATGTGTGCAATAAGGTGATTTCTGTAGCCAGAAGACATATGCCTTAATATATTTATTACTGCTGCTTTATATTCATAGCTATAACAAGTCGAAAGACCAAAAGATACTTCTCCATTTGTGTTTGTCTTGTATGGAAGTATTGGCATCTGGCTCTGTAATTATAGCTATTTGTCTTTGTCAATTACTGTAGTTACATGGACGTAACATGTACTATTTCATTGCATGTAAAATGACCTCAAGAAAATTATGTAGAACGAAATCGAGACAGAGATCTTTGGTTTCCGTTATTGTTCACATGGTATCAGAGCTCAATTCTGAGGCATATTTTTCTTTCCCTTGGCACTCGCCACCATCATGGTCGTCAGTGTCTTACCACTTCCCTAGTGCTACCACATTGCGCTAGTTTGATCCACATTCTCGTCCATCTAAGCATTAGTAGCAGGCTGCTGACTGCTTGGCATTGCTGCTGCCACCTCTGTCCTACTGCTGCTGTTGTTGCCTAGTGAATGCCCACAGCCTAGTTGCTCCCACTGCTGTAGCCTAGACCAGTTGAATTTTTTTTACTGTGTTTCTGTTTTAGCTTCTTTTATGCGTGCTTCTGGATTGTGTAGTTGGTTGGAGTTTTTAGTTATGATGTCAAATGATGGACATAGGTTGTTCGAGCGATGAGGATAGAATGGAGGGTCCTCGGATTCTCACCTGTGGTTTCCTCCCTTGTCCATTATATTTGATGGAAAGAATGGGATCTTATGCGCCCAATTTATATAAAAAGAGGTCCAGTGCTACAGGAAGGTGCATGAGTTGTCTTACTGGTACAAAAGAAAACCCACTATATGAATCATCACCAGAGGTTGAGAAGTGGGATAGTGAGACAACCATAAGTAAAGTTGACTGATTAATCACATATTGTCACAGCTTCAGAGTGGCTACATGTTTAGCAATTCAATGAAGGTGATACGAGAGTTGGTGACAAAACTTTGGACTTGAACAGTATGATACATGACTTAAAGCATGAGCATCTGTCTATGATAGAATACAACAGTGATATTAAGGGTCATCTGGCAGGAAATTGGATGTTTCTGTTAATCTTGCACTATTTTGGGGCTGCAAATTCGAGGTGGTTTGGAGGATTGGAAGGATGAGGAAAGGATGCTCTCTTTCCTGTTGGATATTTATCCTTAGTATTATGCTTTGTTAAGCTCTTTGCCTTTTAGGCATCCGGAGTAGGCAAAAAGATGGACTTTCCTCCTTCTGACGCGATTGAAATGGGTGGCTAGAAAGACAATTATGAGAGGATTTATCGTGATGAAGAAATATAACATTAAAGAGTGTGTCTCCGACTGTTCATCAAGAAGAGAGTAGGTGTGAATTGATGCAATGTGAGTACTCATGTGAGATCCACACTTGTTTCACCCAATATCATCCTTTTTTTCTAGGGAAGAACATGGCAAAGTACCTGATGGGCCTTTCTCACCTGTTTCTGTTTTAGTTGATTATGTTTTACTTCTTTGTCTATGCCAAAAATTTACAAGCTCCGAAATCTCCAAATAGTCTCTTATCTATTGGTAGCCTTACTAACAATATTAGCTGTAAAAAGAGTTTCTTTCCATACAAGCACCAATATCTTCTGGGAGCCTTAGTGTAGTGTTATACTGGTTGGATGGACTGTCAAAGTGCAAGAGCATGCTTATGAAGGTGGAACTAGACCATCTGATCATGGAATCTTACAACTGATTCAGTAATCTGAAGTCCTCCAGGTTTTGATGGGGCGAACTCATTTCGTGAAATACTCATTTGTGATTCCTCACAAAAAATGGTGGTGTATCTTTAGTTAGAAACCACCTAACCCATGGAAAGCTTGACAGGAGTATAAAATGTGGTTGTAGGATATCAATCACTGGGAGGGCCTATAGATGTTATAATCCTACAACTGTACATTTATGTTACTCTATGAGAATGTGTCAATGCTTTATTTTCCCCATGGAATAATTGTAAGACAGCAGTACACTTGGCGGATGAGTTTTTCCACCCCCCAGCCTGTTGTGGATTTGCCTGAGAAGGAACCCTGTGAAAGCAGTGAAGAAACTACGAGGGTCCCAACTGAACCTACTTTTAATTTTTTGAACTTGATCACAAAAGAGAGAAAATGTTGAGGCAATGAATTTTGGAAATCTGCCCCTTGTGTCGCGACTAATGCTGCCAGAGTGCCACATTGAACCTTCCTTAGATCTAAGGGGAATTACTGATCTTTCATCGAACAAACCTGTTGGTTGTTGCAAGAGAATGCGTAGTTGGGACTCTGAAGAAACATAAATGATATTTTGCATCTCTAGAAATGATTCTAAATATGCCTAGTGATCGACATTCTTGTGCTCATCTTGGTTTCCCATGAGTCTGTCACCTTCTTGTCATTGCTTGATTCTTCCCTTGGATGTTGTGTCTATTGCAACGCCCTAGTAGGAATCTAAATTTTTTGAAGATTAGAAGCTGACCATCTCAAAAGAAATGGGGACCTCAACATAAAAATCAGACTTGGAAACTTTTTTCTCTTCCAAGGGGGTGAACTTATTAAGTTACAAGTTGGTGTTCCCAATCAAGCATAACCTGAATGGATCTGCTGATAGAGATATAACACATTTGGTAGAAGAGTTTTTGCTCAAGCTCCTGGGATTGATTACCATGAGAAACATTCTCCAATAGCATCCGCAATTTAATTTCTTTTTGCAGCTAATCTTGGTTGGGAGTCGCAGTAATTGATGTCAAAAGTATGTTTCTTCATGGTGATCTATCAAACGGATGTCTATACGACTATCCTACCCAGCTTTGCTGATGATGAGACCAAAGGAAATGTAGGTGAATGTGGAAGGTTGTTATATGGCTTGATGCAGTCACAACTCACAAGAGCATGATTTGGGCAGTTATGAAGGCCATGAGAAAGCAGGCTTTGTTGAAAGTGACAGAGACCACCGCATTTTTCATTAAGCACCATGGTAACACATTATCTGCTCTACTGATTCTATATTATTGTCACGTGGACAGAAAATGTTGGTCAGTTGAGGAAAGCATTCGCTTCGGAATTTGGGCGGAGGGAACTGTGCCAATGGTGACACCTATAAGGATTGAGATACACAGATTTTCGCATGGTAGTGTAAAAACAAGAATATTTAGCTGCAAACCAGTTTTCTTCTCCGGATGTGAAATGTAATGTTTGGTGCACGCGAGGGCTAATGGGAACTCTCAACATCATCTTTGTAGTTGATATAATTGGCATATACCCAGCATGATATTAGTTATGTTGTTAACTTGTCAGCTAGGTTATGCATGATCTGTATTTGTCTGACATAGTTGTCACTAGATTCTTGAGGACTTGAGGTATTTGTTGAATGCTCCTGGGTATGGAATTCTCATGGATATCTTTCAGTTTCTTTGTATAATTGTATTGCTTATGACCAGCATGGTCGTACTATACATATGATTGATACAGGTAGACACTTTCGTTAAGGAGAAACCTAAAAATGAACCTATTCCCTTAACAAATAGCATCTACTTGAAGCTCTCCCCCGTCCCCAGAAACTTGTCGTATCTAGTGTCCATCGAGAAGTATGCATGCACCAACTTGAGTAGGGATTCATAATCTTTAGATATTAGTTTTAGGTCCCGTAATCGTAGTATCCTCCAATTACAGTAATTATGATGTGACATGTAATCTTGTGTAGGACATATATACAACATAATCTTAAGATGATTATGTAGGTCATCATTTTATTCCCCGTTCAGAATTTCTTCCACAGAAGATCAACAAACTTGGCAGCCTCATTATTGGTGCTAATATATCTCAGTGTTCGACACTTTCTGATAGAAACACCTTTGCCCACCCTTTGACAATGTTAGTTGTTTCAAAAGCTAGCCTTTGTATGAGAGAAATATAGAGGCCGACTTTCTCAGAGTTTATCATGAACATGGAGAAATTTTACAAATGGTGTTTTACAAATTTGTTATTCCCGTAGTAGAGATAATCTTTTCAAAGCTTCGATTTCCGGTCATATATTGATTATAATTGTCCTAAGTAAAGAGCCTTGCTTCATGAAGCTGGAATAGTCTATAATCGCTCTGTTATACTGTTACCCATTGAACTTCTTGAAAGAAGGTATATTTTTACTTCAAATGTGGAATTTGAATTAAAAATAATAAGAAAAAATACATCCCATTCATGGAAGTAGGAAATAAGTGTTTCATAATTTCTCCCTACCTCCAGGAACAGATCCAGTTCCCTGGTTATGATGTTATAATTTATTTCCGGTTATCCTGCTTGAAAATTGAAATTCTATGACTTCATAAAACACTTGCGTAGCAGTTAGTATCTTCCTCCAGAAGTTCTTTGTCTGCCATGTATTTCTGTTTTTCTTGTATCAGAAATCAATGAATCAGGGGAAAAAGTTGAATAACAATATGCATGACATTCTTTTTACAAATAAATATACTTGATTGTAGCTAATTTTATAACATACTGATGGCATTTTTATATATCGAGTTCTAATCAGGGTGTCGACATACAACTTGGGCTTGCAATTGACAGTACCAAAGCCACACTTGCAGTGAAACGAAGGCTTGCTTGTGAGATGGTCAAGTATTGGCAGCAGGTATTCATTCATGATATTTCTGAAGTAAATTCAGTAACTAAGGCAGATTATATTTGATGTTTTAAGTTCTAACAGTCTGTTCCCAGCCATAATTTTAGGTTTCATTCCATATGTTCCATGCCTTGCTTGAAATTCTCATGGCAAATTACGTGACCAAGAGTTTGAAAGACGAATTTTTCTACCATTTTTGTGAGAAGACATCGTTCAAATATATGATTCAATTGAAAAATGTATGTACAAGTCCTGTTTATTTATTCTAAACCTACAACTAATTCCCTGATATTAAGGGAATAGGAAAACAATAAAACAAATAAAAGGAAATAAATTAAAAACGACATGCTATTCTTTCAATACGCCTCCTCAAGTTGAGTTGTATATGTTGTACAACAGCTTGCAATTGGATTCATCAAAGCCGGTTCTCGTAAGAGCCTTGGTTAAAATATCTACAATCTGCATCCGAGTAGGAATATAGCCAGTTGTATGATTCCGTTTAGTTTTTCTCAGAAATGAAATGATCGTCAATATCCACATGTTTTCTTCTGCCATGATGACATGACTCTGCAATACGTATAGTTGCTTGATTATCATGGTACAACTTTATGGATTCAGAAGCTTTAAATCTCAGTTCGTTTAATAGTGTTCTGATCCAAATTCCTTCACATATCCCTAAAGAAAGAGCAATGTATTCTGCTTCTGCCTTGCTTCCGGAGACTGCTGCTTGTTTCTTGGGTCGCCAAGTAGCCAAATTTCCCCATAAATGTGAACGTAGGCACTAGCTGATCTTTGATCAATCAACTCTCCACCCCTAGTAGCAACGGCAATCCTGGAAGTCAGGTGACAGGGGCACACCTAGGGATATAAAAAAAAAATTCAAAATGAAATAACTCATTCGAACCAATTGAGATAGGTTAAATGATTTCAGGTTACTCGGTTTTCGGGGGTTTACAGAAATTCTTAGTAAAACACCATTAAGGGCAACGAAGAAGACATAATCCGACAAAGTTAACAAGCTATGCCAAAAGGAACGCCATACTTGAATATGGAAATCATCAACACACACTAAAATTGCTCAGAATTATGACGCCAAAAGCATTGAGTGAGTGAGTGAGTTGCCAGAAAAAGGTTGAGGACATCAACGAGAGGAGGTTGGGGCAGCAATGGGGAAAGATTGTGGTAAATACGAGATTTTTGGGATTAAAAGGTAATTGGAATTTATTTTCACTTTTGGATAGGGGCATGTGATCCCTACCCCTAAAGGGTGCATCTGAGTATACTTGTTATCACGGTCTCATGCCTTCTGAAGTACACCCCAAGGCTCGGACCCATTGTTAGGTACCGTAGAATCCGATAAAATGCTTCTAGATATTCCATGTTGGGTGACTTACTATACCAACGTAAAATGCAATGTCAGGTCTAGTATAGGAAAGATAGATAAGTTTTCCAACTAATCTTTAATATCTCCCTTTTTTATTAGAAAACCTTTGTCACTTTGGTTTATCCTTACGTTGGGGCTCATAGGTGTTCTTGTAGGTTTGCTCCCAAGCATCCCACTTTTTAGTAAGTCGAGAACATACTTTCTTTGAAATCTCACCGAGAAAAGAAGACTAGCCTGTGTTCCTGTAGAGAGATTATTGTTCTGAGCTTCTGTTGGCTAAGCCATTAGAAGTGTTGGGAAACTGGGACTAGCAAGGTGTTACATCACTGCTCATCAAGCCTTCCATGTTCACCTTAAATGTAGCCTTGTCTTGCAACAGTCTGATGCAGATTATGGTTTTCATCGATGTTCTTTTTCTCTTAGATAAGTTTTCTTCTTGTTGGGGCACAACTCAAAACACAATATAATCCTTGTTATCTTATGACATCTTCATCCTGTGGACCTTTCTTTAGCTCTGTTTAATCATTTCCCTTGGCCTTCCAAACTTTTGGTAACCCTCTAAACTCTCAAGGAACAACAACTGAACACCTATTTATATCTCATCCAAAATAAAGTAATCCTTTCCATTTAATTTGTGGTTTTCTCTCCTCAATGTGCAATCTCACTAATTATGTGAACCTTAAACTTATCATTATTTGTAGATCAGTTTGTTTTAACCCAACAACTGATCCTTAGCTTCCTAATACCCTGTTGATAATACCAAGATCATATTTTACGTCCTTGAAGACACTTGATTACCTGCTTAGTGAAGTTTCTCTTGGCCACTTCACTAATTTTTTTATGACTCCTTGAAATTGGCTTGCTGCTTTGTTTCTGACGATAAATTGTTATTTCATGCTTCTGGAGCCAAACTGCCTCGTGGTGTTAGGCCACCCACCGTAGAAGTCTACTGATGTATCTGGCTTACCTGTGGCATTTTTGTAATCCTTAGCAACTTGCATTGAAGCTCCTGAAAAACATTTTAGCTTCTCTCACATATAGGCATTAAATATAAAGCCAACTTTAGTAAGATCTTAAATAGATAAAGAGTTTAATTGGATAGGTACCACATTCTTGAGTTATCACCTGAATCTCACTTCAGATTTTTTTTATTTAGATGCAAAGGACAACCTAGAATAAAACTGGCATGCATTTGTCTGTATGTGTGTGTGTTTATCATTCCACATCGATCTTGAGAATATTTCTCATCCGTAAGTTATTATTTCAATCTTGACATGATATTCTTCATCCATATTTTATATAGGCTATTGACTTAAATTTTCTTATTAGATGGAAACATGGTAGAGGCTACATAATTATTAAAATTTTATTATTTTAACTTTTTATGCAGGCCCAAGATAATATTACGAACCTTCCACTAGCTAATGGTTGGGGTGAGAAACACCGCTTTTATATCAAGTGGAAATATATTGAAGCCAAGGTACCTTTGCTGTTTACTTCCTATATTTGTACTTACAGCTTGAACTCAACTAAAGGCAGCATTATGGTTTAAAAAAATGTTGAATGATATAATAAATTTATTCATTCAATTTATTGAGCTTTATCAAAAGTTGATTCAGGTAGTTCGGGAATGAAAGAAACAATAGAATTGGTTGTTCAGAAGAAATTAGTCAATATCTAACGTTATGTCCATATTCTCAGGATTAAAATAATAAAGCAAATGCATATTAACACTACATTAAGATCCGTATAACTCTAGCTACAATTAAACAAAAGTTACTAATGAAGTAATTCCTGTAAACATAAAGTTGTGGTCCTAAATGTGAAATACTTCTTGAGTTGGAGCATACGTGTCCCGTCCAACTTGCTACAAATAAAATCAATTTTGAAGTTCAGCATTGGCTTCAATGAATGTCAGCAAGCTCATACTCAGTTCGAATATGAACAAACTGGATCGATGGGGTTATGTATTGTTCTACAACACATGGTTATACAACAAATCGCAATAAACCTCTTATGTATTTTCTATGCTTGTGGTAAACCTGATTTTGTTTTTCTATATTAGTTGCCAACTGATTGCCGGATATAGTCTAACAGTACTCCCAATATGCATAGGATATGTTTGGTCCATGTCATGGTATGATATTCTGACTTGGTATTAGAAATAGAAACTACCCCTTGTTTTTTGCTCTTCCATGGGATGAGGTTGCCACCAACAAAGTTCTGTTTCCACCTCTTCACAGCCACATCACCTGAAATTCAAATTCTAATTCAAAGATCAAATCTTGAAAATCCACCAGGTGATTCAAATACATGTTGCTTTCCGTACCAAAAAGAAGAAAAACCACCCCATTAACTACCCAACATCAATCTTGTCAGCATCTGAATTCCCAGGACGACCTTTTGTCGTCTCCTTTTTAATCTCCTTGTCCACTAAAAACTCAAACCCTTGTTGAGAGAGCAACAAACGAGCGATCAGAAGTCATACAATCATAAATTTTGCAAGTTCTCACATTTATTGAGTTCCTGTCCTGTAAAGGTTCATCAGTTTTGATGCCACTATCATTGTCTTAACAGTTTTATTTGTTGTCATCACCTTAGTTGTCTTCTCCATCTGAATACTCCTCTTTGTCTTCGAGGCTTTGTCCCACAAGATTACTCCCTTCTGGAGACTTTAAGATTGCCTTGGTCAATTCCTCTACTTGGTGGCTTCACTTGCTAGGTGGATGGGACATTGTGTCAAGGAACATTCATGTTTTACTTGATGAAGTTTTTCAAAGATGTTTCTTGATGGTGTTCATTCGTATTTGTGTTACTTTTGATTTGGGTTAGATCTCCTGTTAATTGGCTTGTCATTTGATGGTGGATACTATTCAGGTAGCTTGATCTTTGTAATTTTCAACCACGGTTGCAGTTTTACATTAATATACACACACACACAAGAGTATGGGAAACACAGTATTCGAGACAAAAAGCAATGTTGACCACCTAGCCTCGGATAGGATATTTGCTACTTTGTAGCATGTAAATGCACATTGCTGTAGGATTAACTCAAGAGAGCACAAGGAGGGTCTTCTTGAACACCAAATTAGTTTCAGGGTGATTATTTAACTGTAGGCATTTGAAACACAGAAGACACCAAAGTTGTGATCCATAGTGATATCTCGAGGAGCATATCAATAGAGGATATTGTCGCTGAGTGTATACCAGGTGAGAGTTATATTCATAGCTGAAAGGGTGTCCCCACGGATAATCCAAGGAGATGTGGATCATAAATTAAAGACAATCCAAGACTAAGACAGCGGTGTTCCTCTGTTCCTCCTGTAGTGGTTCATCTCAACAAAGAAGTCGAGGATTATCTCCCCTTTTTCTGTAACTCATTCACTTTTTTTCTATTGGGTAGTCTTAGGTTGGTAGATTGAGGCGGTAGGCAGTGGGGTTGTGGTGGGAGTGGCATAAATCCAAATGAACTGTAAACCCGTATTTTCTTGGTAATAAATCATAAATCCAAAATCATGTGCATCTGTAAATCCTTATTTTCTTTTGACTGATAATTTCAGGCCTTCTACTTCGCTTTAATGAAAAAAAATTATACATTTTCTAGGCAGGCGCGTATTATTATCATGGCTTGATTCTCGATGAAGGTAACACCGAAAAATCACATGGAATGGCTGTATCTGCTTTACAAGCAGCAGATGAGTATCTGAAAGAAAGCAAGAGGGCATGTGAAGCTTTCAATACAGCAGTTCCTCTCTCAAGGTAAAATTCTTATCTGTGGATAAAAGAAGTTAAAACGTTAATCCTACTTGAACTTGCATACACAATGTGAATGTTATGTGTTTTAGATGTCGTGTGCTCGTAGACAGAAGCAGATGGTATAATACACGTGTGAAATGGATCTCTTTTATTCTTCAGTTATAGGGATTGGGAAGCTATTATTGTTAAGAGTATAAGGGCAATATAGTATTTTCACTTCTTGGTTCGGTGAGTGCTGGATTAGTATATACAGATGTGATGTTAATCGTTTTTTTACAAGTGAATACAATCTTATTTTCTTATTCACGGGATAGCTATTCTTTTTTACAAAGCATACATAAGTTCGATTTTGGTACTTGAATTCGAAATTTTCATGCACAAGCATGTGGCTAAAAGCACAAGGTCTCAAATCCCATTTTATCTTAGTTTCCTGCTTTTCTCATATTTATCGGAGTGGATTATGCTTGTTGTAGGATTCATAACATTTATCAATATCGATTACGTTTATTTTGGAGCGAATGGAAGTAGATGATATAGTGATTCTTTTAACTGTTATATAATTTACGAAGGTCCGGGTTTACTAATGGAGGAAAGAATATGACAGATATGTGACTCATCTTGATTTTACATTTTTTATGCAGAACTCCACCTCTTTGGGGAACAATGAAGTATCTCTCTGAAAAAATTCCGAAAGACACTTCTAGCAAGGTGCGGATCAACCGGGATTTATACACTTATGAAAAGTAAGTCGTGGGATCACCTTACGATTTCCTTGGTTGAAAACAAGTAAACCACTTTGCTTTCACATGCAGTATTTTTTGAACTTGTTGGAAACAGGGTTTAGCATATTGCATACACGCATACATAAAGATATACACATATAGAGGGAGGTTCAGGGGAAAACACAAAAAAAAAATGAGAACTGAAGAACAAAGAACATCATGGTAACCATTCATCTGGACTGTATGCACAACCAAGAAACAACTTCAATTACTTGTATGCACATGTGCATACAAGTAATTGAAGTTGTTTCTTGGTTTTTACGCACGTGTGCATGTTATCCACATGTAAATACCAAACAAATTGCTTACAAATTATTTGTATGCACATGTGCATACCGTCCAGATGCATGATTATCAGGGTGTTCCTCGGTTTATTTTCCTTTGCAGTTTTCCTCTGAACCTGACCCTATATATGTACACATATATCATAGCATGTGTCTACAGGGTTGGGTTTTTGGTGAGAACAATCATTTTTCGTGAGAACATGAAAAGAACTGAAGGTATCATTATATTGTGTTAATGTTCCACCATTCACAATGTTATGTAACCTTCCGATACACAGTTTTAAAATTTACAATATTCACACAATATAAAAGTACTTTCACTTACCTTCTCACCAAAGTGAAAATTTCTATTTCTCACATCATTATGACTATGTGCCGGTTCCGTGTGGGGCCGGTTGGGGTCGCCCTTAATCAACAACTAAGTGTCGATATATGCATATACACCTATACATACATGCAATTGTGAGGATACACAACAAATATTCATTAGAAAAACACTTAATGCCTACGGTTTAGAACGCATTTTCCCACGTAGTACAACTAATTGTTTGTTTTCTTCTTTTGTGGTGATGTAACCGGAAAATGAGTGTAGAATCATGGAAACGGCACCAACATTACCTGATTTTGCTTTGGCTCTGAAGCCCGATGAATATCAACTCCCTGATGTCGACGCCTCGTGGAACCATGAAAATGCGAACAAGGGCCACCACAAAGATTAAGAACGGATACGATCGTCACGCACCATGGTTTACAAAGGTTGATGACCAAAACATGGATCATATCATTCCCTTTGTCACTTCAACAACTCCATTTTTATGAATCATTTTGTTGGTGAGTTTGTTCAAAAGCGTTATCATTGTTCATAATAGCAATGTATGTATACTTTCAATGCACCAAGTGTTTTAATATGAGATATGGAACTTGTACAATGTTGAGATCTTTGTGTAAGATCAAGACCATTTGATTGATATTATGCCAAAATAATATATAAATATATAGAGTCGTGAGAAAAAAAAAAGCATCAACTTTCGTGTCACTGTTTGTTATACTGTATGGAGATTGTAACTTTTTGGGGGTAACTGTGGTATATGGACCAGCTTATGTGTCGACTCATCCCTCAGACGACCATGAATGGTCTGGAATCGTCGCATGTGAACCTTTATGGCCACAAGGGCTTTAGCAGCGTACGGATAATGGAATCAGAGACGAGATTTTCACTGCATTCCTTGAGCCTTAACCGGCGTGTCACATTGTAACTTACATATCACCTGTATCGGAAGATTACATTATATTGTATATATCAGGATAAAGGTATCTTTGCAGTTCTCATGACAAACCGTCATACAGTATAAGGATATATTTACCATTGTAATAAGAAAATATCGTAGTAGTGGTTTATCATACTGTCGTGATGATATAATACAACGAATGATATATAGAGGGGAGTGATGTACCAACACCATCTCGGTTTGAATTCAAACGGATTCAACAATACATAGTTTCTTAAACAGATAAAATTGAATTTTGAGCGACTGTCAGACGTCTCAATGAGCTCGCTATGAACATCCGTAGGTAAATTTAATTGAAAATATCTTATTTAAGATTGTCTAAAATTGTGTTATCATCCACAATTATATGTAAACTTGTTCAAAATGTTCACACATTCGTTTTAAACATATCTGACCATAAGTTAGCAACACGGTGACTTATTCAAGATTCTCACATTTCTTAATTGAACACGTTTGACGATACACGGGAATTTTATATAAATTCCACTCTATTTATAAAGTAATGGTCTTGATCATGAAGTTCGACTCATTATTTCGATGAATCATTTCTTCGGACAGAATAAAATTATGGAAACACTTACTCGAAATCTCACTTATCCCCCAAAAAGCATGTTTTTTTACCGATGCACAAAGAAAATGGGGTGTAGTGAGGTGATATGGCAACGGGTTTTGGTACAACGCTTCATAACATATCATTCATGAATGGCTGCATGCGCAGCAGCCAACATCACCAACTATGAGAAATCCACCAATGATTTTTTTGTGTTGTTAAAGAGTTGAACAATGAAATAAATGGCGAGATAAAAATAGCAAGAAATAGAATTTGATTAGTTGGTACTCAAAATATACGATTCAAGTAGTCAAGTCGAGAAAGAGATGGTTGATTATACATATCATTCTATAAGTAAAAAATACGAGTGTTTTTATATTGTGTGAAGAATATTGTAACCTTCACATGACCTAAAAAATTGTGTATTTTCAGTTGCATGACCTTCACATTGTAAAAAGTTATCTTTATAGGTTACGTGACAAACGTGCACAATATATAAAAGTATTGTCACCCTTTCTCACCCTTTCATAAAATGGGTCTTTTTTACCGTAACCCAACCTCATATATATAGACTTGGGATCATGTGAGACCAAGGGTTTTTCGTGAGACCCGTAAGACCAATTCTCAACCATTGGATTAGATCTACAATCTGACAATTTGAACATTCATAAACGCCACGAGACTTCTCAATAATCACAAAATTGTCACCGTGCAACTTTATATCATTAGATCATTAGCTTATAAAGTTGATCAATGAACATAAAATTGGTCTTACGGGTCTCACAAAAAACCCTTTGTCTCACTTGAACCCAACCCTATATATATAGGTGGAGGTTCAAACGAGAACACCTCCATTTGACAAGAACACGAGAATCCCCTTATCACATGTGATAATACGTGTGAAGAAAGCATATTCATCTATAACAGATTATTTATTTCGAGATTATAACATTAATTATATTATTAAAATATTTTATACATCTGACAAATATTATTCCATTCTCATAAATATATAACATTAAGGTTTCTTATTGATGGTAATATAATAATAATAAAAATATTTTTTGGGATTTCTTTACATATTTTTCACACTTTCTCAGCTTCAATAAAATAATAATAAAAAAATCTATTAAGATATAAAAATCTGAATTTTCCTTATTATAAAAATAATAATAAATTGGGAATGCTGTTACAGCAAACTGTTTCCATTATATGAAATTAAAGCTTATTAGATAATGTTGACAAAAAAGTTAGCTTAATGGTCACCACTTTGTTGGTTTTTGTTTGGAGGCCAAATTTGAAAGTGTGCTTTTCTTTGTCTTTATTTGATTCCTTTTGTTTTTAAATACTATTTTATTTATAATTTAATAATCAATATTTAATTATTTTTAATATAAATCTATACTTTAGTTGTAAATCAAAATCTGAAACATGTTGGTTTGGTTCAGACTGGAGAATTTGAATCAGAATAAAAATTATTATGTTAACTTTGTTAACCAAGCTCAACTAAAATTATAGAGCTTGGTTCAAATGTTAACCAAAATTATTATGTTAACTTTGTTAATCAAGCTTAACCAATGAAAATCCATCTTTTATCTAGGTTCATATCCATCTCATAATTTAATGACAAGGGTAAATATGTATATGTAGTTTGTATGTAACTCCCATATCATTAATTGAGAGTTACAAAATCAAAAAAATCTCATAATTGTTGTTGATTTACTATTGATATTGTTTTCCTATAATATTAATTTATCTATCTATAATGTTTCTTGAATTTGTGATTGTTAAAGGAGACCCGATTGTAAAGTTTTCGATATCGTTCAAGCTAATATGGATAAACCTATTGGAAAACTACTCGACAACAATTCATATATTCAAATGGAATGAGTTCATCGTCAACTTAATTTGTTATGCAATCCAATTCTGATAATCATTCGGCTCCATCAGCTGCTTGTGATGCTTGACCTGCCATATGTGTGACTGTACCTGGTCCATACCAGCTGTTGTAAAGGCCGACATGCACCAATAAAACATACAATAGCTCTGTCAATATACCAAGGTTGAAAATTTGTTGCATACACGTGAACACACATAAATATTCACGATGAATGTTATAGTAAAAATGTATTTAATGATGAATATCATATTAATGTATGAATACTGAAGAGTTATTGTATAAACGTGAACACACACACACATATACATATACATATGCATATACATATACATATGCATATACATATATCGGGGCTGGTTCAAATACTAACCAAGATTATCGTGTTAACTTTGTTAACCGATCTTGGTCGTTGATTTGAACATCCAACGGTTGTCATTTATTGAGACTAAAAATGTAATTATTTAATTATCATATTAATAAAAAAATTAGGTTCACAATAGTTCAGAGGGTAGAATTGTAAAATGTGAGTGATCTTAACGTATTTTATTTTGTCAGCTTATTTTGTAACTTCCAATCAATAAAGAAATCATCAATCTCATCAATCAATATCTTAAATCAGTAGCTAAAAATTAGGTTCATAATCTTCATCAAAACAATGAAGGATTTGGAAGGATTACCAGGCGACGGCATCCAAATAAGATTGAAACATGTGTGAACCTAATGAACAATGTGTGAACCTAATGAACAATTGAAAAATTAGGTTCATAATCTTCATTAAAACAATGTGTGAACCTAATGAACAATTGAAACATGTATGTGAACCAAATGGACATATTGTGTGAACTAATTGAACACATATGTGCACGAGTGAACATATATGTCGACGTTTGAGTGAACATGTGCGTGAACGGTTTGATCATTTTCTTCACTTTCGGAATTCGAATTCCGAATGTATTCGTAGACGCTTTTAGTTTTTTCATTCTCATTGTCGTCGATCTGTTTTACTCTATGATTATCCATATTACTCAGACTATAACGGAATCTTTACAAAAGGGACTTTTTTGAAATTTACAATATCAAAACCATTGTAGGAAGAATGAAATGTAAAAATCAGTAAGATGAACAAATGTGAAACTTCATTTCATTATTACATGAAGATCAATTAGCGATATTTTAAGATTTGTAACTCCCAATTAAAATATTGGGGAGTTACATAAAAATGATAAATTACCTAAATACACTTACACTTAATATGTGAGTTACATTGAACCTAACTAAAAGATGAAACATGATTGGTTGATGTTGGTTAGCATAGTTAACACAAAAAAAATGGGTTAGTATTTGAACCAACCTCTATATATATATATATTCATTATTAATGAATGTTATAATGAAAATGTATATTACTGATGAATGTCATATTGATGTATGAATACATGTGAAAACACATAACTATTTATGATGAATGTTAAACTAAGCTGCATATCCATGATAGATATCATATTGATATATAAATATTAAAGAGTTGTTGTAAATATATGAACGTGCATGAATATTACACAGATATACCATTTCACGTAAAATCGGTAAATACAAAAAAAAAACATATCGAGATGGATGTCAATCGAAGAGAAAGAAATGCTCGATATTTTTGATGTAATTTGTTTGATTAAAAAATTAGTTATTTTTAAGATAATCCAGTTCAAGAATTAAGAGGGTATTTTTTTATAATTAAGAAAGAAAATAAAAGGTCAAATATTATAGACGTTGATTTAAAGTTTCAGTTTTGTCCCTAATCACTTCTCAATTAAGAATTATATATTTTTACCGTTGATTAGTTTTCTAAATTTTGATCAATGACCAAGATTGATCCTCATGTTTACAATGAAAACCATACCCAACACGTTCGACTACCACCCCGATTATTAAAAAAAAAAAATACTAAACTAATGCATCGTTGTTGATTCTGTTTCATACACAGCAAAATTCAAGAACAATTTAGAGGTTGGATTTGCTGGAGGAGCCAATGGAAGGATAGATTGAAAGAATGAGATGTTTTTTTAGGTGTTTGAAATAATAAAATAGGGAAACCATATATATATATAGAGAGAGAGTTTACATTTGTACAACCAATACAACTTAATCTCAACCGTCCATTTAATTTGATGAATGTGTGATTTCATAGAAGTTTTGATTGTTTCCTAATATAAAGTATTGATCATAATTAATGAACTATATTCATCTTCCATAAATATTCAAATCATAATAAATAAAACTTTCATCATTTCTATAAATATCTCAATTAATTGGGTTGCATTGGTTGTACAAATAAATATAGTTACATTTAAAATATACCCTATATATATATATATATATGAAATAAATAAATTAATATATATTTATGAGTTGTCATTAATATGACAATGTACACAATTACTCTTTTATATTTATTTGATAAATAAGATTAACTAAATCAATGGGTGGACTAGGATGGATCTCATATTTTGGGGAGTTTTCAAATGATTAAGCATATATATATATATATATGCGAAGGATCATGTAAGAAGGAGAGTTAACGTGAGAAACATAAGAAGGGATATGGACCATGAATCACTTTTAATCTCATGTCCACTCATTAATTGCGTTTTAGAAGGGAATTGATCTGTGCATCTCGGTGCACCTCATTAGTGTTGACATTCAATTACGATTAATCAAGGGTGTAGATCTCTTCTTACGATTCTCATCATAACTTCTTTTCTTACCAGATTCTAACAATATATATATATATATATATATATATATATATAGCCACAACTTCGTTTGAGAAGTAGATAAGTGATGCTATCTATTCATCTGGTCAAGGTTTGCAGCTTTGACTGTGAAACATCGGATAGTTCCTCGCGTGATATGCAGAAAATAAATGAGTAGTTTCGTTATTTTTATGAATAGGTGCAAAATAAGTGCACATGTGAACTTGCATGATTCACATTAGGGGTGTTCAAAAAAACCGTTGGACCGCTCAAACCGGCCGAATCAAGTCAAACCGGACCGTTTTTGGCGGTTTGAGCGGTCTGGCGGTCCGGTCTGGTTTGAAAAATAGCAAAACCGGGCGGTCCGGTCCACTTTTTTGGGCGGTTTGGACCAAACCGACCGCCAAATATATATATATATATATCTATATTTATTTATTTATTTATCTATTTTAATATTAGCAAGCCCAACTTTTTTAACTTATTGACTATGACCCAAATTAACATAATCAAAATAGACGACTAAAACCATTAAACCATTGAACATATCGACACATTTGATATTGACGGTCTTCAAATTTTGAAATCTCTCAAAAACTCTATTAATTTATTGATCTTTCTAATCCATTGTTTGATTTCGGCGCACATTATCAAGACATCAACCAAGTGATTAAACCAACTTAGATTTGGCTTCTATTTTGTTTGGTCAAGACTTAAGAATTGAACCATTGAAGGTTGTGAAGTCGTGAATTTTGTTACTCAATACTCACAGTAGAGTTGTAACTTTGTTAATTTATTTGTTTTCTAATATGTTATATCTTTATATGTTTGTACTTTGGATTGCCTCGACTTTGTACTCAAGAGCTGCTTAATTATTACATTTATTTGATTAGATATTTTTTTGTTAAAATGGATACTTAATCTAAAATTCTAAATTATATATATATTTTAAGTTTAATATAAAGTCCATTAAAGACCCAAACCGCCTAAACCGGTCAGACCAGACCGCTTTTACTTGGTCTGGTTTGACCGGTCTGGGCACTTGATGTCAAACCGCTCGGTTTGAAAATTTTATAAACCACTATTACGGTTTGGTTTGTGGTTTGAGGGGTTAAACCGCCTAAACCGGACCGCGAACACCCCTAATTCACATATGAACTATATGTTCATATGTGATCTATGTAATTTACATATGAACTATTTAACTGATTCACATATGAAGTATGTATTCTTATATGCACTTGTTTATCGCCTATCTATAAAATTATGAAGCTACCCCTCTATTTTTTCGCTTGACCAGTCAAAAGCCACAATTTTTGACAAGTAAAAGCCACCATTCTAATCTTGATAGCATGAAGGATTATGATCACTTATTTACTTTTCAAATAGACCCCACACACGCACACATACACACACACACACACACACATATATATATATATATATATATAGAGAGAGAGAGAGAGAGAGAGAGGGGGGGGGTGATCATTTACAAACCATTATATTAGTACAACTTTGCAAACTAATCTCAACCGGACATCTAATCTAATGAATATCTAATGCAATGAATATCATGGTTGTTTTCTAATATCAAATACTGATCACAATAAATGAACTCCGATAATCTTTCATAATCCATATGATAATATATGAACCTTCATTGTTTTCATAAATATCTCAATAAATTGGTTTATATAGTTTGTACTGATGGTTGAGTTGTAAATAAAACCACCTATATATAATATTAGAAAAACAAATTAAAACATTTCCATTCTATATTTTCTTAAAACTCAAAATCCTTAGTGAACAAAACAAAAATAAAAATCTCTTTTGCACAACTTCAACTTGTACCTATTCTTATGTAAAATTTTCGTATTTCCTTCTTTATTTTTAAAGTAATTTATTAAATATTAAAAACATATTATCAAACATAAAATATTGTTCATTAATGTCATTATCTTAAAATTCAAGGTTACATATTATTATAACTAGAAGGGTACTCACGTAATACAGCGAGATAAATCTCGATTTTAATGTTTAGTTTTTATTCTTTATTTTCAAATTTATATTTCATTAAAAAACAAAAACATTACCGTTTTCACAAAACCACATAAAATCGCATTATATCATAGAGATTTAATAATAATATAATTTTTTATAAAGATAATAATTAAACATTCTGTTATAACTTAATGATTATCTTAATTATATTTTAGGTTTTTTATATTTAAAATGATGTTTATCATGTATTTGATTATGTTTATCCATAGTTAGTTACACGAATTCAAGCACGAAGCTTTAGTAAGATGTACTCATGCATATCTTACTTGTAATCTTGAATTTCAAGTAATATGTATCAATAAACAGTACTTTATGCATAAAAAATTGTTTTTAAGAGTTTTAGTCAGATGCTTTATAATATAGTATAGATTGATGTACAATTTTTAAGGCCTTTTTAACCCCATACACTAACTGATAAGCATATTAATCTATGTTATTAGTATATCATTATTTTTTGTCCAAATCTGTATCGACATAACTTGTAAGTTATTATATGCCCACGAAACGGTCACATGAAGATATTGCTCGGAGTATGTAAATCTATAGGGTCGCATACAAAAAATACTGTTGATCCTCTCTCTCGGTGATTTGATGATAATCCTTTTTTTCCTTTCACGTTGTATTTGTGTTTCTGTATTTTCAGTTCCAGCAATCGCTGAAGAACTTGCATTGTAAATCTATCAGAGACAACAATACTTCAAGAAGACAACACTCACACCAAAGAACCTTCAGCAAACGTCGAAGACTGAAACTGAAGATTAGAGACCGGCGAGTACGTGATCTGAAGCAGGTATTCAATGATTACAAGCCTGTCTACACATGTGTGAAGACTGCTCAAGCTTCAGCGAATGATGATGAGACCTTCAGGTCATTCCAGCATTTAGCGATCAAAGGAAGCTTGCTTAGCACTATTGTTGTTGTCTTGTCTTTATGCACACAAAGGACAAACCCCATACCCTTACAAAAGTTAGTACGGTATGGAGCCGACTAGTCGACTCTTTGTCCACTAGCTTTAGGTAAGGATGTCTGCTCATAAATAGTGCTTCTGTACTATTCACTGTAGCAAA